ATATGATAGCCCCCTTTACATCGTGTAATTTTGGTTATATAAATTTTTCTCTACACCTTATAGATTAAAAGATATTTCGGGTGGTAATAATTGATTACATTATTGGGACACCCTGTATATGTATGTATATATTATGTATAGTATGTATATATAGAGTGGTCGTTATTTTAATAATTTTTGAAATTTAATCGTGACACCCCCTTAAAGTGGGTGTTATTTTTTTCAAAATATTGAAAAAATAACACCATATTTTCTTCAGATTTTTTGAACAATTTTAACCCGTGCCACCGAGGCACGGATAGGTGGAAAAACACTTTTGTGTGGACAAAATTCGACCGACGCTCTAATTCTTATATATAATCGATTTTAAAGTTTTTTTTTAATTCGCTCGAAATTGAATGAGCTATAAGCCAATTCTGCGTAAATTTTGATTACGGTACAAAGTAAAAATTGCCGATCCAATATTCGTTATCGTGTAATTTTGATTTCTTCTGCTCACTTCATTGTGCTCATTTCATTCTGCTCACACATATAGTGTGCCAGAATGACCGCATTTCCTTTTGACGAACGTATTCTTGAGGTAATTTTAAGACAAAAATCCTAATACGAAAATATCGAGATTATAATAATTTTTTGAACAATTATAAGCTAACTTTAAATGCTTATAAATCAAAAACCATTTTACTTTCATAGCCTCTATTATTATTTCTGAATTCTTTTAAACATTCTAAGACGAAAATCCTAATACGAGGCTATAGTTTCCGAATTACAAACTATCTTTAACCAATTATAATTCAAAAACTATTGTAACCTCGACATTTTTGTATTAGGATTTTTAAAAGACAAAAATTGTTTATTTTCTTCTCATAAAGTTCTGAAAATTTTTTCAGAATTTTTTTATTACCGTATTTTCTCATGTTGGTAAAAATAAGAAAATGCAGTACTAAAAAGTAGATAAAAAATTCCGAAAAAATTCTTAGAGTTATATAAAAGAAAATAAATGATTTTTGCCTCTTGCAGTTTTTCTGTAAAATTGATAGTATTTGAGTAAAAAATTATTGAAGATAATATTCGGCAATTTTTTAGTAATTAATATCTTGTTAACTATTGCGAAGATTGCAAAATGGTAGAGGATTTTTCGACTCAGTTTAGTCCGCTCTATCTATACAAAAGCGATTGGCAAAAACTTATGGGACATCCTGTATATAACTCATATACAGAGTGAATACTAAGTATGCTAAAAGATTTTGAGGGGTGATTCATCACACAAATTTAAGACTAAAACTTCATATGACGATTTGTCCGAAATGGCTAAATTGCCAATAAAGATACAAGGAGTCAAAGTTGAAAAAAAATTTCGTTCTTTTCCAAAAAATTCAAAAACCGTTGTTATTTTAATGTAACTTGGATATGTTTAATGGGCATGAAAGATTATCTTTCGGGACTGTACATTATCGTTTTATTCAATCAGGGATAGACCTAACGATAAGCAAGACCCCCTTTTTTAATCAATGATGTATCAGTTTTTTTTCATAAAAAAGGATCTTGAAGTTTTATGTTGATTCTACTATGAGTCGGTACTGTCGGTAGTCGGAATTCTTAAATCTTAACCAGTTTTAACCCTAAATAGGACTATGCTTGCTTTCCAGCAAGAACACAATCAGACACTGTAACACAGCGAGTCGTTTCATCCTTGTTGTTTGCCAACGTTAAACAAGGATGAAACGATTCACTGTGTTACACAGTGTCCTTGCTGGAAAACAAGGTGTGAGATTTTGCATCTACTAGTTATTAGTTGTATAGCGAATCGTTTAGCTCGACTAATGGGAAGGAATAAAATCAAATTTTAGCATACTTAGTTCCACTCTGTATATACGCTATATATATATACATATATACAGTGTGTATATATATATATATATATATATCCAGTATATATACACACATAATCAAACGTTGTATTATATAATCACGAAATATTCGATTAATATAACCGACGTACAGGTTATGATCGTATCATTAAGTACGATTCGCTGATTACCTCATTTAACTGTAGTTCTTTTTCACATTCTTTTATATGTTCCTTTAATACAGAATTCCAAGTGTAAATACTGCTTCCTATTCCTAAAACCAATGCGATATAAATTTGATCCTTGCGTAATCCTAGTGGTACCCTCACTCTCATGTTGCCTTCACATTAGTTACCCATGGAGTAAACGGAGGCATTGGCTGCGTTCAGCAGAACGTTTGTTTTGCAACTGTTGTAAGTTTCCTTCGCGCTAATTGGATCATACTTTTAGATCTAGAAGAATGGTCCTATCTCAGCAGACAATCATAAAACGGTTGCAAAACTGTTGAGTCTGCTGAACGCAGCTAATGGCTGCGTTCAGCAGAGAAAGCAGCTTTGCAACTGTTGTAAAATTCTTCAATACGATTGGTTCTTGCTTTTGGTTCCTTACAGATCTAAATGTATAAACCAATCATATTAAAGAATTTTACAACAGTTGCAAAGCTG